GAACTTAAAATGGAGTTAAATTAATGGCCTGCCGTGTGGTTTGGTAACATCGGGACTATGCCTTTTTACTTGTCAACCTTGGAGCTTCTCAGCCTCAGCAGATAGCAGCTGTCTGAGTGAAGAAACACCTCTAGCTCCAGTGGGCTGGGAGCAAGAGGCAGAGCTGGACCCCAAGGTTGAGGGGCTTTTACCCAGCCCCTAGAGCCTGGCACTTTGAACATGGACTTAAAGCCTCCAAACTGTAAGAGAATAAACTCCTGTTGGTTAAGGCCATCCCATTTGTGGTACATTTCTGTCAGAGTGGCACCAGGTAACCAGAACAGGAGGCAAGGAAACTTGAGTACTGGAAACAGCACAACCCGTCTGGAACGAATGAGAAAGATGACACATTGTGAAAAACATAACCAATATCACTGAATAATTTGTAAAGAAATTCTTAAATGGGAACCTAGTTTGCTACATAAGCTTTCACTAAATGTAGTAAAATATTACTTTTAAAAAAAAAAAGACATTAAGAGTGAACCTAAAAGTACTCCCAAAGGCCAAAGCTAGAACAACTAGAACAATCTGAGTCACAAAATAAATAAAATCACTTTAGATTATAACCCAAAGTATAAAACAAATGTGCACGAATCAGTAATTACATAAATAAATGACTGAATAAATAAATAAATGAGGTAGAGAGGATAAATCTTCCTCACAGAAGAATTACAAATAAAATCTAGACACTGCATATCCACACTCCACACAAGAGGTGGAGCTAATTCTCCTCCTCTTACATTTGGGCTGGAGTTAGTGACTTCTAAAAACCAGAATATAACAATGTAACTTCACAGCAGAGAAACCTGGGAAACCAATCTACCTTAACCAAGTGATCAATATTAACATAAAAGTAAGAAGTCACGGTGATTTTCAAACAGGGAAAGACTGAGAAACTGTCATATATCAGAGAAGACTAGGATGACATGATGACTAAATCCAATGTGGTATCCTAGACTGGAGACTGGAACAAAAAGGGCATTAGACCCCAGTCTAATCATGAGGGAAAACATCAGACAAATCCTGAGAAAAATTCTACAAATACCTGACTCATAATCTTCAAAACTGTCAAAGTCAGCAAAAACAAGGAAAGTCTAAGAAATTTTCACAACCAAAAGTGATCTAAGGAGACAGGACTACTAAATGCAAAGTGGACTACTAGACAGGATGCTAGATCAGAAAAAGGAAATCAGGTGAAAGCTAAAGAAATCTTAATAAAGTATGGATAGTTAATTTATCAACACAGGGTCATTAATTGTGACAACTGTACCATACTAATGTAAGATGTTAATAGGGAAAGCTGAATGTTAGGTATATGGGAATCCTGTACTATATTTGCAATAATTCTGTAAATCTAAAACTGTGCTAAAATAAAAAGTTTATTTACAAAAAATAAAAATTGGCAAAACCTTAATAAAATGTGTAGTTACTTGGAATGCATTAATATTCATTTCTTAGTTTTGACAAATGTATCATAGTTATAAAAGATGTTAACGTTAAGGGAAAATGAATGAAAAACACCTGAAAACTAACTCTGAGTTTTCTGTAAATCTAAAATTGAAAGTTTATTTTTAACAAAATGGGCAGAAGATTTGAACTCACACTTAACAGTTATATAAATGGTGAATACAGATATGAAAAAGTGTCCAACAGCTTTAGTCATCACAGAAATACAATTTAGAACCAAATTCTATATATCCATTAGAACAGCTAAAACTAAAGACTGACCACTGAAATGAGATGGACAAATACCTTGAAAGACACAAGCTACCAAAGTTCACTCAAGAATAGGTAACTTGAATAACCTTATAACTACTAAAGAAATTGAATTTCTACTTCAAATCTTTCCCACAAAGAAAACTCCAGGCCCAGATGGTTTCACTGGTGAATTCATTTAAGAAAAAAAAGAAAATTCAAATTCTACATAAATCCTTCCAGATAATAGAAGGCAATACCTCCAAACTCACTAGTTGAGTTCAGTATTACCCAGAGCAAAACCAGACAAAGAGATTACAAGGAAAAAAAAAAACAACTGCAGACCAATATTACTCATGACCATAGATACAAAACTCATTTAAAATTTTTTTAGCAAACTGAACCTAGGAATATACATTAAGAATAATTTATCATAACAAAGTAAGGTTTTCTTCAGTGTGCCAGTTTGGATTAATATTTAAAAAAGAAAAAATCAATGACTGTATTTATCATAATAAAAGAAGAAAAAATATACAATTATTTCAACAGATCAAAAGCATTTCACAAAACTCAAAATATATAAAGAAAAATTCAGGATGACAACAGCAGAAATTTCATAAGAAATATAACTAAATGTCAGAAAATAATGCTGGCCATTGATACTATGTGAGAAGATGTCAAAACTTTGACAGTCATCAACTACAAACCCAATTTCTTTGAACAAAGTTAACTAATTACATTTGGTCTTTTAGTATCAAATAAACCTTCTGACTACATTTTTTATTAGGCTAAAATTAAAATTCTTATACATTGAAAACACTTGGGTTGGAGGATGAAGGCTTTGGGCCAATTTGGAAAGGAACCAAAGAAAGAGAGATAACAGTAAAGGTTCCTAATTTGTTAGAGAGAAACCTTAATATTGTCCCTTGAAAGGAAATATGTAACCAAAACCTCAGTTTCTGTTTGTCAAACCATCATGGACAAGTTGCTTCCCTTTTCCAAGTCTCATTTTCCTGTCCTATTATAAGAGGAGATTAACCAAACCAAAACCTGTTGCGCCACAGAGTTGATTCCAACTCATAGAGACTATAAGACAGAAAAGAACTGTCCAATCGGGTTTCCAAGGCTATAATTATTATGGAAGCAGACTGTCACATCTTTCTCCCATGAGGAAAATGGGAACAGCTGGGGCATTCCAACTGCAAACCTCTCAGCAGCCAAGCACTTAACCACTGTGCTACCAGATAATACTAGACTAATTCTTAAAGTTAACATATATTTACTGAACATCGACTATGTGTCAAACACTTTTCTAGGTACTGGAGGAAAAAGAAAAAAGACAACTCCTTCCCTCACAGAGTTTAAAGAGATAAAATGAATATGTAAAATATGTTTATATATATATATATATATATATATATACACACACACACACACACACACACACACACACAATGAATATATGGGTATTATGTGTTTGTGTGTTAAATGGTAACAAATACTATGGAGAAAAATAAAGCAGAGAAGGAGACAAGATGTATTGAGAAGGGTGATTTTAAATGAGGTGATTAAAGAACTAGATTTCTAGGTTCAGTTTCAGTTCAAAAGTCCAATGATAGTCTTCTATGTTGACTAGGCAGTATTAAAAAAAAACAGTAATACAGTGAACCTCTGAACCTGACCTCTTTAAACTCACACATTCTATCACCTTGCTCTGCGTGTCACCACTTATATTAAAAAAAAAAAAAGGATTAAACATACATTTTTTTTTCATACTGAGACAAAGCATATGCTGTCATTTAACGAAATAAGTAATTTCCCAGTCTTGCCTTGGGAGACGAAAACAAGAGAAATAAAACCTAGCAATTTCTCCTCAGACAAAAGTTCTCAAAATGTGGTACTTTTATATAGCACAAAAAAGAATTAAAATTAGCTCTTTTTTCTCTCCTTCCAATATATTTATGGTCTGGAATTTATACTTCATTGGGCCTACATCAAAACAGGAAGGAATATGGGGCAGTCTACTTCTGTAGTGATACTGCCTTGGAAACCCAAGGGGGGGTCGCTATGAGTTGGGTCTGATTCGATGGCACATAACAACAACATCAAAACAGAAGGTGATTTAGAAGCTTCTCCAAAATGGAAGCTTTTCCACAGACAAAGAAAGCTGTACTAAGTATTACCATTATAGTTATTGTAGCCATCATAATTTGTATGTTTGCTATGTGCCAGGCACAGTACTATTGTATATATCAGATTGACCAATATGAAACTGCTATTTGTAGGTTACAGTCAACAACTTTAGACAGTTCAAACAAATATATTATAATTCATTAATTTCAAATTCTATGAAAGAGAAATGTGTAGGTTAAATGGACTGGGCTTTTCTGTAGTTTTTCTGTTATATTATCTTGGGCAAAGCTTCAAAGTAATGAGGATTGCTTTGTGATGTAAAAGGCTCTCTGCCAAGTTGACAGCACTGTGAATGACAACTGGAAGATACTGCCTATCTGTGATTATGAGCTTGTGCAATAACTACTTTTTAAAAAGTTATCTAGAATTTCATTTGAGGATTTGAGTTTTACTTTCATAACATAATCCACAGCACAAATTTCATCTAATCCTGTCAATAGTTATGTGGCTTCATTTTGAGCTAAGCTCATTTTATTAGTTATATTCACTATTCTATTTTCAAAGGCAAAATCTTCACTCTAAAATTAACATTTTTTTATTATTTATTCTATTAGGAAAGGTATAAAGCAATCAAAAATTTTATTTATATCTTAAATCTGTCCATTTGAACTGGTATATCTGTTTCTCTGGAAATGCCTCATTAAAGTCTTTCCCAAAAAAGAACACTGTCCGTAACCCAGCCTATTACGCTCAATCCAAACAATTTTTAAATTCATCTTTTAAAAGTAGATTAGACCCTATAGTTTATTTTTTCTTCTTCTGGCAGTTATTTTTCATTCACTATACAGTTCATGTTTAGAGTTCACATTTATAAGACATTAATAAAATAGCCCGTTAATTATCTTCTAAGTAAATGTATGTGATCTAAAGTTTCAGCTAGCAGAATAAAGCAGGCACTTTGTATGTTACATTATTAGCAGATGGGAAAGTTTATTTCTAACATTTAAATGCCAAAAGAAGTCTCAGTGAAACATTATTAAGAAAAAAAAAAAAAAATCAAGAAGAATACGATGATCCCCTTTAGAAATTACTAAGTTTAAACAAGTAAGTATTTAAAAACAAAAAAAACCTACCAGCTCATTGCTTGTAGATGTGAGTCTTAGCTTTTCTTCAATTTCCTTCCCAATTTTCTGAACAGTTACCTGAGTCTGCTTAATTGCACACTGGGCCCTATGAAGCCTAGAAATAAAAGTTGCAGAAAAACCTAAGTGAGTTAAACTTCTAACACAGGGTCACAGATACAAAGGGAACAAAACTAGGACAAACTTTTCAGAATAAATAGAATTAATAATGAACTCAAATGGACTGTTTCTCAATTCTCCAGCATATTTACAATGAAATAACAGGAATTACAATATATTCTAAAAACCACCTTTCTGTACCTGCCTGCCTGCCTCTGATGTACTTAGAACTAACATAAAGAACTCAGAGGAATCTGGAAGAGAGCTCAGAAATAATCTAATTGAATTCTATTATTTAACAGATATGAAAACAGACTCAGAAAAATCAAGTAGATTGTTAAGGTCACCCAGAGAGCATCACTGCTATCAAGCTGAGTATTACTTCTGGGTGTCCATAAAGATAAAATAATTCACAGTAATCCCAGTTTGGAAGACTGAATGGAAGCACTGGCTTCTGAAACATAAGAAAAAAACAAAAAGATGATACAAAACACAAAGTACAGAAGCACTTAAATTCTGGACCAGGGTCTAAACCGCAACTGAATTCTCAGTGAGGATTCTTTAAAGAACACCGAAAAAATTAAGAGTTATTTTTCATTTTTGCTTTAGTTATGGATTTTTCAGTCTTTCTGCTTTTAAATATAACTCATATTTTCTTATACACTTACATATTTAAAAAATGGCAACGCTGTCTTTATTTGCAGATGACATTTTCATGTAGGCAATCACAGGTATCTATAAAAACAACTACCAGAACTAATCAGTGAATTTAGAGAAAGGTATAGGATATATAGTCAATATGCAAAAATCAATTATATTTCTATCTACTAACCACAAACAAGGGGGCCAGCTGGTGCAGTGGATAAGCACTCGACTGCTATCCAAAAGGTTGGCAGTTCTAACTCACTAGACACTTTGTGCGAGAAGATGCAGCAATCTGCCTCTGAAAAGATTTACAGCCCTAGAAACCCTATGGGGCAGTTCTAGTCTGTCCTATAGGGTCCCTATAAGTCAAATTCAGCAGTAGTAGAAGTAGGCATAAACGTCTGAAACAGGAAATTTAAAAGAACAGTATCTTTTATGGTAGCATCAAAAAACATAAAGTACTTAGCAACACATTGAACAAAAGATATGTAAGACATGACACTAAAACTAAAACTGTGCTAAAGTAAAGAGCTGAATAAATAGAAAAATACATCAGGTACAGGGACCGGAAAATTAAATAATGTTAAGATGTCAATGTTTCCCAAATAGATCAATACTTTTAAATCCCAAGGTCCCAACAGACTTTTTTCCCCCACTAAGAAACTAGTAAGTGGATACTATAATTTATATAGAAAAGGAAAGAACCTGGAAGAGACAAAACTTCTATAGAGATGTTCTATGAAGGAAGGAAACAAGGCAATGAAATACCTGAATAAGAAGTGATACAGATCAATGAAACAGAATAAAGAGTACAGAAACAGACCTACACATACGGCCCATTGATTTTAACAAAGGAACCAAAGCAAATCAATGGGAAAAAGAAAGCATTTTAAACAAATAGTGCTAGAATAACTAATACACTTCCAGGTGAAAAAAGGAACCTCATCTTCTACCTCACAGCACACATAAAATATCAATTCAAGAAGGATCATAGACCTAAACATAAAAGCTAAAATCATTAAACTTCTAGAAGAAAACATAAGAGAATATCTTGCAATCTCAGCGTAGGCAAGGGTTTCATAGAAAAGACACATAAAAAAATTATCCATAAAATTTTAAATGTAAAATTGGACTTTGTCAAAATTGAAAACATCTGTTTATCTAAAGATGTCATTAAGAAAATGAAAAAGCAGTCCAGTGACTGGGAGAAAATATTAGCAATATATCTATCTAACAAAGGAGTTGTGTCCAGAATATATAAAGGATTCTCATAAATTAATGACCAAAAAAAGTAGACAATAATCCAATTAAGAGCTGGGCAAAAGAGTAAAACAAATAAAGAAGACAGAAGAATGGCCAATAAGCCTATGAAAAGGTGCACAACACCTTAGTCATTAGGAAAATGCAAATATAATATCAATCATATTTCACACCTGCTAGAATAGCTAAAATTAAAATGACAGCCCCAAATGCTGGCAAGAATATGGAGCAACTAGAACTTGCTTACAAGGTAAAATACTACTATCATTCTAGAAAACAATTTCTTACAAAGTTAAATATGCATCTAGCCTGTGAGCCAGTAATTCTAGTGTTAGGTATTTACCCAAGAAAAATGAAAACATATTGTGGTAGTTAAGGTTATATGTCAACTTGGCTGGGCCATGGTTTTAAGTGGTTTAGCAGCTGGATGTAGTTATTCCCCATGATGAGATTGGTAATCAACTCCATGGTGGACTCTACTGGAGCAACAGAGTAGCTGCTTTAGGGATGTAGTCTGCTTCTAGTACATAAAACGTTTTTAGAAAGGTCTCTGCAGCTTTTTGGTACACTTGGACCCTGCATGTAGCTGAGTTTTCATGCAGCAGCCCGTCATGCCCAGCTGAGCTTCAGACTTCTTCTGGACCTGAACTAGTAGCCTGCCATGTTGTTTGTAGGTTTGGGACTGTGCCTTTTTACTTGTCGACCTTGGGTTTGCCAGCCTCAGCAGCCATCAGCTGCTTGAGTTAAGAAAAGCCTCCAGCTTCAGTGGGATGGGAGCAAGAGGCAGAGCTGAACCCCAAGGTTGAGGGGCTTTCACCCAGCCCCTAGATCTGACTCTTTGAACTCGGACTTCTAGTCTCCTAAACTATAAGGGAATAAATCCCTATTTATTAAGACCACCCACCTGTGGTATTTCTGTTAGCGCAGCAGTAGGTAACCAAAACACACATATCCACACACACAAAAAAAAGTACAAGAACATCCATAGGAAACAACCTGAATGTCCATTAAACAGGATAATTCATAAATTATGATCAGCTCATACAATAAAATTCTAGTCAAACAAAAAGGAATGCACTATTGATACATACAACAATATGGATGAATATCAAAAACATTATGTTGAGTGAAAAAAAGCCTGAAACAAAAAAGTACATACCTTATGATTCCATTTATATAATGATTAAGAACAGGTAAAAAGCAATAAATGGCAATAGCAATCAAAAGAGTGGCTGGTTGCCTATGTGAGATGCGGACTGACTGGTAGAGAGCAAGGGAAATGAGGAAATTTTCTCAGGCGGTGGAAATGTTCTATATCTTGATTGGGGTGAAGGATATATGGGTGTATACACTTACCAAACTTAAGACCTTTTCATTTCTACTGTACCTAAATTTTAAGCTCCATTTTTAAAAATCAGTTCTCAAGCTTAACCTTATATTATCAGTCCTCCTTTATGTGGAAAATATTTTTTAAATTATTTTTTATATTGAATAGATTTTGATGGAGTCAAGACCTCTGCCAACAATGTTATTATGTCACTACACACTAAAAATATTCACAACCTATCTTGCTCTCTAGCCAACTGCCTGATAGATACTGAGGATTTCTTAGATCATCTCCAAAAGGGAGTTACTTTCATTTTAGTCAGTTTGCTTATGAGATGAGATACTCAACAATTTTCTCCAGAGTCCAGAGAAAAGAAAAGTAATCCAACAGAAAAGATTATACTCTATCCTACTTCTTCTTGCTGTATGTATCATGTGTGTGTGATACACGTGCAGATATTTCATCTACATTAATGGTAATACTTTCTCATACAAAGGTGACTAAAGAAAGTTTAAAAAAAGAACAAGTTCTTTGTGATCTGGGGTCCAGCCTCATTTCCTAATATTTCCTACCTTATACCTTCAACTCCAGCAATATTAAACTACTGGTGATTGTCCAAACATATGCCATTTTTTGCTTCCATAACTTTTATGGAAAATTATGTTTAACAAACTATTTCATCTGCCTACAAGTTCTCTTGGTCCCTTAACAGATCAGTAACTCCTATTGTATTTAAAGGTAGTTCAAGCATAACCTCTTCTTCAGAGGCTTTCCTGACCATACCAGCAGGTAGAGGCAATCCTTCTTCTGGAAATCTTTTCTTGTATATAATACCATAACAAATACTATAGAACCACATTTTACAGCCAATGTTTATTTCTTTGTCCATTTCCTCACTAGAGATTTCTTGGAAAAAAAAGTATGTAACATACCACTGCTTAGCACAGAATTTGATACTAAAGTGCCACTCAATAGATACTTGATGACTGTTCTGGTTACCTAGTGCCCTCTGACAAGAATATACCACAAATGTGATGGCCTTAACAAACGGGTTTATTCTTATAATTTGGAGGCTTTAACTCCAAGTTCAAGGTGCCAGGGCACAGAGGCTGGGTGAAAGCCCCTCAACCTTGGGCTTCAGCTGTGGCTCCTTCTCCCAGCCCACTGGAGCTAGAAGCTTTTCTTCACTCAGACAGCTAATGGCTGCTGAGGCTAACACACCCAAGGGTGACAAAATGGCACAATCCCGATGTTACCAAACCACATGGCAGGCCATTAACTCAAGTCCATTGTAAGTCTCAAGGTTGGCAGAGCATGGCAGGCTACTGAACAATGACATGGCTACATGCAGGGTCCAAGCATGCCATAAGCTAGAGACGATTCCCAAAGCTGCTTCTTATATACAGGAAGCAGAGCCCATCCCAAAGGCTGCTTGTGATAGATCCCACCATGGAGTTGATTGCCAGTCTCATCATGGGGAATAACTACCACCAGCTGCCCAGCCACTCAACCAGGCCCCGCCAAGTTGACACAAAAACATAACCACCACAATGACTGAATGTCTACTAATATCTGAATATAAGAGGACAAAAAAAAAAAAAAAAACCCAAACCCACTGCCATCGAGTCAATTCTGACTCATAGCAAACCCCACTGGGTTTCTGAGACAGTAAATCTTTACAGAAGTAGACTGTCCAATCCCTAAGATTTAATATTTTTCAATGATATCAATAGGAGATTATTGAAATATCAATGTGATGATTTTCT